TTTAAAGATTTCATATCCCTTGCAGATGTTCCCATCACACAGCTTGCATTGCTCAGGTTATTTATTTAGGGCCTCATCCTGGGAAGCGCTGGGCAACTCCTGCAAGCTGTTGAGTGGCCTCAACACTTGGGATAGCTCAGTGGTTTGAGCATTGGCCTGCTAAACCCAGAGTTGTGAGTTCAATCCCTGAGGGGGCCATTTAGGGACCGGGGGCAAAAATTGTGGATTGGTCCTGCTTTGAGCAGAGAGTTGGACTAGATGACCTCCTGAGGTCCCTTCCAACCCTGATATTCTATGATTTTATGAACACTCAACTGAGCTCAGAGTACTAAGGATTGACCTACATCTTTTAGGATTGGGTCGTTAACTTTAAAGGTCCTTGGAGCATGACCTTGTTTTCTTATGTGTTCAAAGGGGTGTAAGTGCTAAAGTGCTGTAGGAATAGTAACAAGTAGTCACTGGAGGCTTGACAGCTCTGCTCAGAAGTTGAATTAACCATATCACTGCAAAATGACATTTGTGACATCAGTTGTCTGGTACAAATACATTCCTTCTAAAGGATGCTCTCTCTCTCTCAGAAATACTTAATTAGAAGAAAATGTAAATGCCAACCTCCCCTAGTTTTTCCTCAGGTTTTCTATACATTTCAAGCCTTATAGATACTGCACATTCAAAATCATAGGGATAAACCAAGCATGATCTAGTGGATAGGGCACTGGACCTGGAACTAAGAATACCTAGGTTTTATTCCTGACTCTCACTGAGTGGCTGTGTGACCTTGGGCTAGTCATTCCACCCTTCTGTACCTTTGTTTTCCCTCACATCTTTTATCTGTCTTGCCTGCTTAGATTGTAATCTCTTTGGGGCAGGGACTGTCTCTCATTGTGTGTGTGTGTGTGTGTGTGTGTGTGTGTACACTGACTAGCAGAATGGGGCCTTGTTGTCCCTGGGACCTCTATGTTACTGCAGTACAAATAATAAGCATGGTAGGCAAAAAGAGAAACTTACAGCTTCCAAGGGGTGGGTTTGTCTGAAGGCAGATAGCGTCCAGGTCACTTTTTGCCTGGCTTTCGGAAGTGCTGAGTACTCCCATGTCCCATTGTGATGATTGTTCAGCACCTCTGAAAATTCAGCCCTAACACTGAGAGTCTCAATTTCTCAGGACTAACTTATTTAAGAACCTCTCTACCTCCTCACCTTGGGAGGCTGCCAAGGCTCACTCGAAAACCATAATTACACAGTTTCCCTTTGACTCTCCAGATTTTCCTTATTCATAACGTGACTTTTGAGCACTTCGCAGGAATAAATCAAACTTGTTCCATTTAATGGGCACTTGATTTGTTTCAGGTTTTAGGACCTGCGCTCCGGAGACTTGTCACCACTTGAGGTGGAGAAGCCAATAATTGCCTACCTAAGCCAGAAGAAAAGGTGTTTGCTTACTCTCAAGTTAAAACAAGAAGTCAAAGTGAAGGAAGGATGGCTTTGCGGTTAAGGCACTGGACTGGATCTGGATTCAGTTGGCACTTCGGGCAAGTCACAATCTCTCTGTATCTCAGTTCCCTATCTGTAAACTGGTGGTGGTGATCCCTTTTTTATTCCCTCCCATCCTGTGTCTGTTTAGCTGTTAAGCTCCTCAGACAGGGGCTTACTATGTGCATGTACAAAGACTACCCCAATGGTGTTCTGATCTTGGCTGGAGGCTCAAGGTGGTACTATAAGGCAAATAAATAATGCGAGAAGGCAAGGTAGCCATGTCTTCATCTATTTGCCCATCAAAGCTGTTGGGTGAATTTTCAGTTCAATTTGACTGGACTGAGTGATCTTTTTGCCAAACAAATAGAAAGTTTGATTTGAAAAGTTCCATGTTAAGGCTGAGGTGGCAAACTCTGTAGAAGAGAAGCTAAAATGTTATGTAGTCTAACCTGTCTATCCAACCCATGCTCATCACTGGTAGCAATAGACTTGGTCTTTGAAAGAGATTGGGGCAGTTGGCCTCCTTAAGGCATTGATAGACATACAGTCCTCAGTCTAGTGGCAGCAGCACTGGGAGTCAAAACAGGGAAGAATTGGGTTGAAGAGGGGTGAAACAAATATAAAACTATTTCTTAAAAAAAAAAAAAAAAAAAAAACTGCTTGACAATCACCTTTAACTGTCCCCAGATACATGGTACACAGTCATTCTGGATGAAATGCTCTGTCCTACACACAGATTTGATTTATTCCCATTTATTGTTGCTATAATTGGCCTTTTACCAAACCCTCCGGTTTAATGCAGTTTTTTTTTTCTAATCTGTAAATATACTGGCTCTTGCTGGTTCCTCTCAATGGCCTACAGTTGTGTTAAAAAGATAACGGTATTCCCATTGTTTTTTTCTATCTGAAGTTAATCTAGTTGGTGATCTATATAAATATCTCATATTTTATAGCCCCTTTGAGCTCAAAGATCACAAAGCACTTCGCAAATTATATAAATATGCAACATGGAAATGCAGTCATCGGTGGCATTGAGGGTGGCAACCAACTAATCCAGCAATGGTGGAGAGGGGGAAATGTCGGTTAAGAACCCTGAAGTGAATCTCTGCACCTACAAGAAAGGCCAAGGGATCTTTGCTATCCATGCAGAGAAGATCAAATCTTCCCTCTACACTGCTTGGTACACGGTTAATCTATCTTCTAAGTGATGATGGGCTGAGTCCACCCTGATGGAATTTAAACTTCAAGTCCCCGAGAGACTAGGTATTTCAATCCTGATGTTTAGTCCTAAGAGGGTAAGTTCCTATCTCCCCATCCCTGCCAGACCCAATTCACTTCTCCAAGTCTTTATGAAACTCCCCCATGCCATCATAAGGGTCTCATTGCCCCCACTACCCGTTTCTCATGAAAGCATCTTATTCTATTGCAAAGAGAATGTTACTACATTGTTACAAGTGTTGCCTTCCTCTGCCTCCTGTCAATGGTCTGAGCTTTGTTCCTTCCCTTTGTGCTTTTTCCTGAACAGTGTCAGCCTGATGGAGAAGAGGGTACTATGGACAGACTAGACCCATGGTTGACTGCATATTCCTTATGACCCTTGGCCTGGCTCTGACTAAGCCATCCTCACCTCCTTCCGTTTCTTTCAACAAAGGCAAGGTTCATCTATTTGCTAAAGCATTAGCTTAAAAGTTGGTTTAAAAGTAGGAAAGGGCTGTTTTCCAAAGGACAAGAGGTGGGTAGCAAGTTGGCTGGTTATTATTGCTGCCTGGTTGATCTGTTGTTTTTATTCTGTGTAAAGGGCCCCAGACTCTGAAGACTTGTATCTATTTGTTACATAATATCTTGTTAAATATGCACCTCTCCTAATCTTTAGCTGCATGTACAAAGCACTGCAAGTGACAAAAAAGACCTCTCAGAAATTTCCTTCAGCTCACAAACGAAACTCCAACCAGCTCTAGCCTCCTGGGAAACCCTCAGTGCATAGGTAAATCCACAGGGCCTGCTGCAGGAAGAACACAGTCAGGCATTGTCAGACTCATGGAGGAAGTAGGTTACAGAACCCTAGGTGCAAAGCTCATCTCTTTAGCCAGGTCTTTGGGTGAAATGCTGCATTACTGAAGCCAACGGTAGTTAAGAATCAGGCTCTTTCTTTGAGGTAGGTAATCTCAGAGCCCAGTGTTGCTTCCATTGATACAAAAGCTCCTCGGGTGTAGAATCAGGCCCTCCGTTCTGTCGGTCACAGGTTCTGAGCAGTGACAGTGTGACACTAGTGTATTCTGTGTTTTAAATTGATTTTTTTTTCATGGATGTAGATTTTTTGAAATAAGAGCATTGTATAAATTAAAATAAATAGCAGCATGTATACAGGAGTCTACCCCTTTTTATTTAGAGGCATTTCTAAGATGCCTATAACGTCGAGCTCTTCACAAATATTCGTGAATTTATCCTGATAAACCCCTTTCCCCTGTGCGGCAGGGGAAGTGTTATCCCTATTTTACAGGTGTGGATTCTGAGGCACGGAGAGGTTAAAGGAGGGTCACGGAGCTAGTCTGAGGCAGAGCTGAGACTGCAGCCCAGCTGTCCTGACTCTGTCCTGTGTCTTAACCATAAAACCATCCTTCTTCTATTACGGTAGCCCTGGAAGCCCCCTCCAAGATTGGGGACTTACTGTCATTGTTGCTGTACGTATATATGAGAGGGTCCCTGCTCTGAGGAGGTTACAGTCTAGAATAGGCAAGGTGAGAGAAAAGAAGTATTTATTATCCCAGGTGTCTAACTCCCTTCGGCTCCTTGAAGTGACGAGCTCAGGGTCACACAGGCAGTCCTTAGCAAAGCTAGGACCAGAACCATGAGTTCGGGACTCGCAATGGGGGGGCGAACCCACCCCTCCCCCTCTTCTGTTTAACCTACCTGCAGTAGAACCTCAGAGTTACAAACACCTGGGGAATGGAGTTTGTTCGTCGCTCTGAACAAAAAGGGGTTCTTTCAAAAGTTTACAACTGAACATCGACTTAATACAGCTTCGAGACTTTACTACGCAGAAGCAAAATGCTGCTTTCCCTTTGTTTTTTTAGTAGTTTACATTTAACACAGTACTGTGCTGTATTTGCTTTTATTTTTTTGTCTCTGCTGCTGCCTGATTGCAGCCTTCCGGTTCTAAATGAGGCCTCTGGTTGACTGCTCAGTGCATAACTCTGAGGTTTTACTGTGTCTTATTACTGATTATACTTTATTATCTGCACCCTGGTAGCATGGAAGTGCATGGACCAGGACCCCACTGCGCTGTGTTTGGCATTGTACAAATGCTACAAAAAGACAGTCTCTGCCTCCAAAGAGTTTAAGGGCTTTGTCTCATCTGCTTTGCATTCCCTCATTTTTATAAAAAGAACAGGAGGACTTGTGGCACCTTAGAGACTAACCAATTTATTTGAGCATAAGCTTTCCTGAGCTGCTGAATATTGAATAGGGCGAGGGAGAGGCTGGGCTTGGAGAAGGGGCGGGAGGAGAGAGGCGGGAGGGGCGGGGAAGGATTCATCCTCCGCGGGCAGGAGGCTGGCTGGTCTCCCGTGCCGGCCCGGGTGCGGGGAGCGAGCCCGGGGCCATGGAGCGCTGGAAGGGCAGAGTCGCGCTGGTGACCGGCGCCTCGGTGGGCATCGGGGCGGCGGTGGCCCGGGCTCTGGTGCAGCGGGGCATGAAGGTGGTGGGCTGCGCCCGGAGCGTGGACAAGATAGAGGTAGGGAGGGGATGGGGAATGGGGGGGGGGGGGAGAAGGGGGCTAGGAAGAGAAGGAGCAATGGGGAAGGCGTCTCTGGGGGATCCCCCCCCAACCCCTGAATTTTGGGACCCGGGAGGGGGGACACACTCATCCCCTTCCCCACTGGGGCGCAGCCTCTCCTCCCGCCCCTTCATGGTTAGCGCTCCCGGTGCGGGCTGCGGACAATGCCGGATTCCCACCCCCCCCCCCGCACGTGGGGGAGCCGAGGTGCCTGGGGAGGGGGCAGCTCGGAGCCGGGGGTCTAGGGGCAGGTTGACGGGTCCCTCTCAGCAGCTGTGAAGGGGGGGGGGGAAACCTTCCAAGGGGCGGCCCGGAGCGGGGATGGGGGATGAAAGAGATCTGGGGACTCCGTGCAAGCAGTCCCTGTCCCCATTATTCTTCCAGTGCATTTTGGGGGCAGGGAAGGGGTTGGGAAGTTGGGGGGAGGCCCTCAGTTAAACTCTTATTCCCCCATCTGAAATTGACGAGAGCTCTTCCCTTCCCACCTCTCAAGTCACCGGTTAAAGTTGCAGATCCCCTGTGTTTGTTTATAGTCGCCCCCCCCAGCCTTACGCTCTCTATTGAGCTGTCAGGTTAAAATTCAAGGCCAAGATTTTTCCAAAGTGACTGGTAATTGTGGTTAGCTCCATTATGCTGGGGGGGGGGGGGAAGAGTGGGGGTTTGTCTCATTTGAGGTGCCTTGAAAGGGACCTGGTTTCCAGAAGGTGGGTTCTTAGCACTTTTTGAGCTTCAGATCCTTTGAAGGGATCTCAGGCTGAGCACTCAAAACCACTAGCCCTTTTTGAAAATCATGGCCCATATTATTTTGAAAGGATCTCTTGTGTGTATTAGAAATAACCTATTTAGCTTAAATTTTAAAACTCAACTGAGTTCTCCTAATTTTTGCTGTTTGTTTACTTTCCACACTTTTCACCTTGGAAAATAGTCCTGTCAATTTCACTACTGTTTATGAGCCCAGTTTACTCTCTGGTTCTAGCACAATGCTGCAGTGTAGGGGTTGCAGACATTTCAGGGAAACCATGACAAAAACTGTTGCCATTGAAATTAAATTGTAAAAATTCCTGGAAATATTTCTATTGGTGTTAGGATTTCTAAAGATGAGTTTTTACAAAACCTAAATGTAGGGAAAAAATTGACCTGAGTGTCCCTCTAGTTAAATAATACTAATAAAACACTTTGACCTCAGTAGATGAAAAGATGTATAGAAGTGCGAAGTATTACATTATGCAGCTGACTGTATTTAAAATGAAGCAGAAAGGAGGGTTGGATAGTAAAGGGTGTGTTGGTTAAGGAGGACCACAGGGAGAAAAGGTCAGATAGTGTTATGAGGGTAGGGTGACCAGACAGCAAATGTGAAAAATCAGGACAGCGGGTGGTGGGGTAATAGGAGCCTATATAAGAAAAAGACCCCAAAATCAGGACTGTCCCTATAAAATCGGGACATCTGGTCACCCTACATGAGGGAGATTGTGCAGGGTAGTTGGGTAAGGCGGCATTTTGCTTTACAAGGGCTTACCTCCATTGCAGAATTGTATGGTGTTTGAAAATGATTGTGAACAAATAAGTTAGCTGACATGATTCTGACCACATCTAAGTGGACAATTTGTATTCAGAATCATCATCAGGTCAGCTAAGTGTGATTCATGATCAGTCAGCTGATATGAAGCTAAACACCATTTGTCCTGGTCTAGACAGACCACTCAGATATGGTCAGCAGCATCATGTCAGCTAATTCAACTGTTAAAAGTTATGTTCCGGCACAATACAATTTTGCAGTGTAGAAAATCCGTAAGGGATAATAGAGGGATAGTGGTGAGATTACAGAGGGAGTTTGGTGCATAACGGTGAACATATCTTGTAACAAGATAACCTTAACAACTAATGACAGGTTTCAGAGTAACAGCCGTGTTAGTCTGTATTCACAAAAAGAAAAGGAGGACTTGTGGCACCTTAGAGACTAACCAATTTATTTGAGCATGAGCTTTCGTGAGCTACAGCTCACTTCTTGGATGAATTGGTTAGTCTCTAAGGTGCCACAAGTACTCCTTTTCTTAACAACTAAGTGACCTCATGCCTATATTTCTGTAAAAACCTCATGTGCTCATCCTCCTCTTTCCCTCATCTGTTATGGCTTTCACTTGTTGTGTTATGGCTACCAATATAACCTAAACTCTTTGGGGCAGAAACTGCACCGTGCTCTGTTAGAAAAGTTTCTGGTACATTTTGACTGTTACCCACATTAAGATAATAAATACCATAGTATAAATACTTTGAGTGTAAATTTCATAAAAAGGTAGCTGGAGAGGTGAAGAATGGTTTAGTATTCTGCATAACTGTTCATGCCAGTTTGAAACCTAGTGTTTATGAATGTGTATTATTTCCAGAAAGGGCTGTGAGTGAAGTTCACTAAAGATACTCAAGTCACCTGTGATTGTAAGGGTGAAATACATTCACGTATACACTTTTTTTGGGTAAGACTACACGTTGTCTCATATCTGGTGGTTGCTGTTGTAATGGTCAAAGGCACATTTAATTGACTCACCTAGCAATAAATGTAAAATATATTCTCTCCTTTGCCAGCTTGATTACACTTTGTACAATAATTCAGTTTTATTACAAATCTTTTAGGCCCCCAACTCATCAAAACAGTTAAACACATGTTTAACTTTAAGTTCAATCTTGAATTCACTGGGTCCTACGTACATGCTTAAATGCTCTGATGAACTGGGGCTTCAGTGCGTAAGTTGGAAAGTCATTTTTGGAGTCGAGGTACACCACTAGCCAACTATAATTATATTCCTCTCAGAAATCACTGGGTAGCAGTTACTTATTATATTTTTATTAGGTTACATCTAAAACACACACTGTATGTGCTATTTTGATTGTTAAATTTGTTGCCTCGCAGTTTAGGTTTAAATCCTTTGAGGGGAAGTAGCTTGTTAATCTAGTTGGGAAAATTTAGGTTTCGCTAGAGAGTAAGGCATGCTTTTTTTTCCTTTTTATTATGGAAAGATTCCCAAAAGCTTGATTTATCCTTTGTCCAGACAGATCTTTCTGTGCAATGTTGGCTCTACAGAGCTAGTTAAAAGCTAAGCAGTAGCATGGTTTATGTAAATATTGACGACACCTAATGATCTCCAGCAATGTATTTGGAAATTTGAGGTACTAAAAATGCTGGCTTTATTGTTATGCCCCTACAGAGAGAGGGAAAAATTACTTCCCAACAAGCCTGAATTTGGAGGCTAGAGCTTGGGGGATGAGGTGGCAAGACTCTGAAGACAGAAAATACATGTAAATAGAATATGGTGAAGCTTTGGGAGAGTGGCTGTAATAGAGAAGAATACCTGAGACATCTAGGGAACATGGGAAGGAGGATGTAAATATCATGGCCAATAAGGCTTTGGGAAGACTTCTCTCTCAGAAGGATTTGATATCCCAGCTGCTTGTTTATTTTATTCAGGTCAGTTTCTTGGCTTTATTGTCAATAGGGCTGCTGCAGATACATGTTTAATAGTCTCTGTTTGCCTTGTATAGTCTAGCCATGCAAATTAATTTCAACTTTTTCTTTCATCAGCTCTTCCCCTGAGATTTCTGCCCTGTTTCTAATCAGATTTTTCACAAAGCTCTTTGTTCAAAGAGAAGAATTGGAGGTTGTACCGTTAAGTTTTAAACATAACCAAAATCCACCTTTATTTACCACCTACTGCCTGTATTTAAGATATCATTTTATTGTTTTTTAGCTTCTGTGTTGTAGGAAAGTATTATTTTAAAATTGTCTGAAAAACAGAATTGGTTTATGTTCTGAGCTGACTGGGGGCCATGCAGCATTTTAAGGCACTTATATTTTATGTGTGGTTTAATACATTTTATCTAGGCCATGTAAATCCATCTGAACATTGGAGAAATGCTGATCTTGCCATAATTGAGGTTAAAATAGCTTTTCATTTTAAACACAGTTTTGTCCCTACAGCAAACTTCTCCAGAACTAAACCAAATTAGCTGAAATGTTATAGATGTGATTTTTTTTGTAATGCCAGTGTAAGAAATTTTTTGGGCAAGCCTAAGGTATATTAGTTATTTGGGACCATGTTGATATATATATTTTGGGGACACCAAAACTCCAAAATGGTTTGGCCTAAAACCTCCAAATCGGTTTTAATCTGTTGGGGTTGGCAAGGACTGGTACCATGGAGTAGTTTTGTGGATGGAATTGTGCAGTTATTTGAAGCAGTTTTTGCATAGCTTAACAACTCCGTGGAGTTTATAAACTCTGGATGGCCACCACGTGGGGAGAGGCAGAGGGAAACCACATAGGGTAGAGAGGAGTGGGCTGGTATTCAGGGGAGCAGAACAGAGAGAGCCGCATGGTTGCGAGATGAGAGTTACACCTAACCAGTCAGGAAGCAAAAACAATGTCATGTGACCCATCTAGCCAATCAAAATTAATGAATATATTTTGAGTTTAAAATATTAGATAACCACAATTACCTTCTTCTAAGCAAGCTATGATAGTAGTGTTTGCCAGATAACTCTGAACAATGAATGAATCTGAAAAATGTATAAGTTGGTTGTGGATGATTTGCAAATAGAGAATGGTCATAAGGGCAGATTCTCAGCTGTACAGATCAACATCACTCCAGTGAAAGCAAGGAGCTAAGCTGATTTACCAACTAGAATCAGGCCTTCAATTCATTAAATATATTGTTCCCTATGAGTTATTCATTTTGCTTTAGTTTAAAACCAAAGCCAAGTACTCCAGTCTTGACTCCACAGGTAAACCCTGCAAAGAAGGGGAATTTATGTCTGTAGTCACAGGCTACAAACTTCTTAAAATTTTCATCAGGTCCTACTTCATTTAAAAGTCCTCCATCAGATATCTCCATCTTACAAAAGGTAAAAAGGTAAAATCCTGACTCCACTTAAGTCAATGGAAGTTTTGCCACTGACTTCCGTGGGCA